TGTACCTGCACATATGAGTATACAGTGCCTCCTACTTTGTTCACCAGGTCCTCCTGGCCTCATCTAAGCCTGGTTATCAGTTGTAATGTTTTTAGATTCCTTCTGGCATTTTTTTTTATGATGTGAGAAAGGTGAGGCCTGATCTTTTGTTATAATTGCAGGGGGTTCAGGAAATTAAAGAAAAATATATTATAAAATCCCAGTTCTCCCACTTATGGTTGGTGTGGGTCTTAGGTGAGATACTTAATCTCTGTTTGGTTGTCTCATCTTTAAAATGGGGATAATACTTAACAAGATTGTAAAGTTTGAGGTGGATTTTGTACATCGGTACTTACCACAGTGCTGGGAACATGAGCTCTTGGTTAATGGTTGCTGTTCTTATGAATTAGAGTTAGATATGATTCGATCTCCTCGGATTAGGGAGTATGATTGGAAAATGTAACATTAGAGCGGCAAACATTTAGATCGCTCTCCTAAATTTAAGTTGGGGGTTAAAATGCAATTAATTAAATTGACAAATGTAGACATTAAGTCATCATGTAAACTATTTTCCAGATAAACCAAGTGGATTAAGTGTATTTGTAACTCTGTTCTTGCAGTTGGGTTCTGATTTTGCAAAATTTGCAAAAATAATCCTTCATTGGAAGGGAGGCAGTGAGGGATGAAGGAAGGAAGGAGGAAGGGAGATGAATGATAGGTGGGAAGGAAAGTGATTTTTAAGATATTTTCCTTTTTATTTAAGGATTTTCATGGGAGATTTTTAAAAGAACAACTTTAGTCATTGTCAATGTAAGTTTTTAAGAAGATAATTTTAAAAGGACACTTTTCTCATGAAGGTATCCATCACCTGTGATGAACTAGTGGCAGGGTATCCATAGACATCTTACAGAAAGTCTTGGAACTGAATCCGTCAAGTCACTTGGTTGGTTGTAATTATTCCAGATGGAAAGATGAAGTTCCATTTCCAGAGATATGTAATATTTGAGTAAAAGCTGCAATATGAGAGTTCGCTTAAGACCTGAAAACTTGATTCAAATTCAGAGTTCAACTTCAATTCAATTCAATTCAAAGTTGATTCCTTCTAGAAGACCACTTGATCAGTAAGTGAAATGCAGCTATGGATCTGAGGAAAAAACCAAAACATTAAGACCAAAAAGGAAAATATTTGTAACATAACTGAAGGCCATTTTGACAATTATTTTCAACAAACAACATAATAGTCACTTACAGATCATATCCTAGATAGTCTTCCATTTGGAGCGGGAGAATAGACTTACGGGAGAGGGGTCATGCACGGAAGGAACACAGAGCAGCAGGGGTTCTGTGCCATGAGGCTGCTTTCCAAGGACCAGGAAGAAAGGATATTAATGGCAGAGCAGCCAGGGAAAATTCTGAATGTTTTCCTTTTCAGAAAGAGACCTTAGAACTGAACAATAACAAAGGGAACATTCTTTTCAGAGACTTAATTTCAGGAGGGTTGGAGAAGTGATGTGAAAAGTTTCAAAGCTCTGTAAGTAAAAAGTGGGGTCAGTTTAGGCTGATCGCCTGTTTCTGAGGTTTATTTTCTCTGATTTGCTAGAAAGTGCTATGTTGAATTTTTGCCATAAAGAAATAGAAGTTATTTCACTTTTATTTTAATACCAACTGAAAAATAAGTGTCCTTCTACATGTTCTTAACTCCTTCAAATGACCTAATATTGAAAACATCCCTCTGTGAAAGGGAACTGAATGACCACACTTCTGTTTTTATAGATACGCATAGTCCTCTTAATGCACATGACCTGCAACAAGCCCATTATGTTGTCCCCTCAAGAGGGTTTTAGAATCGGATTTGTCCTTGAATTTCCTTCCAGGGCTCAGTAAAACCTGCAAGTTACTCACAGCTGTCTCAGGCCCGGCAAAACCCCTGCAGCCCAGGATAAGACAGCACTGAGCCTGCAGTCCCATTCACTCAGGGTGAACCCTCTGGACTCAGTTTCCCTCACCAAGCAGAAGTGCTTCTCAGCCCCGGGAGCCTCCATATCAGATGATACTCTTACGGATCACATCCAAACACCAGCACTCCCTCCTCTGGGGGGTTTCTGGTCACCCATGGATTGGGCCTTCCCACCATTTTCCAACCCACCGGTTCTGATAATCAGGGTTCTGTGATGATGGGGTGTCCAGGAATGCTTCCGGGATAGAACTTAAGTGTGTTACCTTTTTGTATGCATATGGGCTTTGGGTTCTCTTTCTGGGATAATGTTTTTGAAAGTTGTCTGGCTAACCCCAAGCCGTAAAATGCTTGAATTTTCTCACAGGTACTGAGCTTATCTGATTTCTGGTGTATCCTTAAGGGTCACTTCCTCCTGTTCTGATGAGACTTTTCTGGCATAGGTTTTCTCAGGATCCAGGGTAGCTCCTTTGGTCAGTCAGTTTGGATAGAAACAGGTCAGTTGTGTCCATTCTATACCCCCAAACAAAGCAGTGTCTAAACCCACCAGGGGAATACATTTGTCTCTCAGGAGGAAGCCTGGGTCTTCAGCTGTTCGGAGATGGAATGCCCACTGATGGACCCCCAAACAGATGAGTCACCTCTTCTGCCTGGCTTCTTTGCCCAATCTAGCCATGGGTGTTCCTAATGCTCCATGTCATTGGAACCCCCACAAATCATTAAAGGGCGAGTATTTTCCATTTATCAGAAGGGAGCAGGTATTTGTTTCAAGGTTTGGAAAAGTGCCACAGGGCAACGCCTCAAAAAGTAAAAATTCTTAGGGCTTCCCTCTTCCCCACATGCTCTCAGAGGCTCCTTTCAGCTCTAAACTTGCACGAATTTGGGGTTCCAGTTGAGGAGAAAGTGGCAGAAATAGGTTGCAAAGTTGAATAGGCATCTGCTAATAAGTACACAGTGTGCAAACTGAGTATGCTGACTGGCATATGACTGATTGGATAATATGCCAAGAACTATGAGCCACTAGTGGTTTAGGGCCGGGAACGAAGCAGTCCCTGTGTTCATGGGGCCTCATCCTCGTGGGCTGATCTGGGCTGTAAGAGCTCCCAGGAACCACAGGATGCTCATGGTCCTCACTGCTGCTTCTGTGCCCTTTGTCATTGTGAAGTCAGGGGACACTGCCTGGGAAGTACACTAATCAGTCTATTACCTTCATAAACAAACCCAAGTGGACTCTGGTTTGCTATTTCCATCCTCCTGTTTGATGTCTGCATTTTAAACCATTTTGTTCTCTGCTCAAATCTTTACTCCAGCGCTATGTTCATTTCAACCAGACTGGAATGAATAGAATATGTATTGGGGATTTTCTGAAACTGGAACCTAATTATTTACCAAGTTGTCTTTGCTTATTTTTCTGTTTAGTTGGTGGGATCATTTAAAGATCTTTGGATGTGATTATCACTTATGCCTAATTTAGTTTTTTTAATTTTTATTAACATATGATGTATTATTAGCCCCAGGGGTACAGGTCTGTGAATCTCCAGGTTTACACAATTCACAGCATTCACCATAGCACATACCCTCCCCAATGTCCATAATACTTATGCCTAATTTGATCTATTTACAAAAATCATTGAAAAAATACACGCTTTTTCCTTCCCCTATTTTTTCAATACTTTCATCTTATTCTTTCCAGGTTCCATAAAAATAATATCAATTATAGTAAACATTTTTTGAGCTCTTACTAAGTACGGAGCATGGGGCAAAGCATGTGACCTGCATGACCTTGTTAGACCTTGGGTGGGAAACCCTTTGAGGCAGGTAGGACTACATCTCCTTTTACAGCCCTGACAAGTTCATGAAGAGGCCTCAGGTTACATGGTCAATGCAACAATATTTTTTAAGAGATACTTCAAGGGAATTTCCATATGTGGCCTGTTGTATATTATAATTTCAAAACTAGGTTTCTCTATTATGACTTTTGAGTGGTTTGCATTAAAACAAGAACTATCACACTGGATTAGAATCAGTGTTTGACCATAAGAGACTCTTTTTTTTTTTTATTTATTTTTTTTTTCCATAAGAGACTCTTAATCTCACAAAACAAACTGAGGGCTGCCGGGGGGAGGGGGGGAGGGAGAGGGTGGTGGGGTTATGGACATTGGGAAAGTATGTGCTATGGTGAGTGCTGTGAAGTGTGTAAACCTGGCGATTCACAGACCTGTACCCCTGGGGCTAATAATACATTATATGTTAATAAAAAAATTAAAAATTAAAAAAAATCAGTGTTTGACCTGGTCATTGTTTTGCCTTGGGCCATTGTTATATTTGCGCAGAATTACAGTATTTCATTATGTTGTCACCTCAAGAGTAAGTTAGCCCATCTGGACCTTGTATGCATATATATAAGGTGCAGCACGTCCCAGGTATATTATACAGTATTTGTATGCACATTTATCCTCCCTCTAAGATGTGGGTTCCATGCAGTCTCAGACCACACCCTTCTTCATCTCTGCAACCTAGTGCTGGTCATCTGTCGATACAATGAATGTCCATTGAATGCACAAATATTGAAAATGTTTTAAATATCCAAGCTTCCTTTAGTAATTATATATTCATGAACTCACTGAAATTACCTTTGAAGCTCATTTCCAAATTGTACCACCTCTTAGCAAGTAGCATAAATTTACTATCTGTTGGGTAAAATAGTACTTTCTTTAATGTGTTGTAAAAACATTTCCTTCAAGTTTCTCGAGGTTATAACATAGAAACAACACTTAAAAGCAGTGCCTTCTCTTTATCACATTGGGGATTTTTTTGGTTTGTTTTTGTTTTTAAAGATTTTATTTATTTAAAGAGTGTGTGAGTGGTGGGGAGGAACAGAGAGAGGGGGAAGGGAGAGAATCTCAAGCAGACTCTGGGCTGAGCATGGAGCCTGATGGGAGGCTGGATCTCAGGACGCTGAGATCATCGCCTGAGCCGAAATCAAGGGTCAGATGCTGAACCAACTGAGCCACGTGGGTGCCTCTTCATCACACTGTTTTTTAATGATTCTTTTCATGGTTTTCAGGAAGGTGATGTCTGGCCTAACTCTTCAGCTGAAATCACGGTGCACTTTAATCCTCTGGAAGCCAGGCTCTACCAGCAGACAGTTTACTGTGACATTTCAGGTAAAGACTTTCTCTTTGCAGCAAACTATGTGGCAAAACCAAGTGCCCAGAGCATCAAGTGGGGTGCCTGTGTGTGTGTGTGTGTGTGTTCGGACTACAGGAAGTGCATTGATATCAATAGAGGAATAACAGAGTCAAATCACGCACTTCTCATTTATTCTAGAATAGATCAGACTTTGCAGACTTTGAAGTACATTATAACTGTGGTGTGGTCAGGGCAAGGGGGATGGGAAACCATGGATCTGATCTGGGTTTCCTCTTGATTTTTTAGAGCAGAAGCAATATTACTTGACACAAATTTTCAGAATTTTATTTTTTGTTCTTTTTATAATATTTGGCTATTTAATTTTTCCTTTTTGAGCTTTGAATCAAAATAATGCATGCCAAGGAGGATGGAAAGGCAGCCTGGCAGTGGCCAGAATCAGCATGGGGGAGGTACAAGGAGAGTGGCAACTTGGTAGCTTCAGAAGATTGGATACAGAGAGAAGAGTTAAACAAAAAAGTAATCAGGATAACAAGAGCCAGAATTATTTTTCTCCCTTGAAGGAGGCAGAAAGATATATATATATATCTTCCATATATATGAGAAGTCTTTGGTATTGGAACAGAATTGGAGTTATCGCTATGAACCCATGGTTGCTATGCACAGATATAGAATATATATGTAAATGTGGGTATATGTTTATGTATATTTCCTACCTATGAACACTGAGAGGTCCTGGCAGCTTTGAGATCCTAGTAGCTATGAGAACTCTTCACACCCAAAGCTTGGTTTCTGAATCCCAATCTCTTCTAAGAGGGACTTTTTCCAGGACTAAGGCAGGGAAAGAACAAGATGAGCCTTGAACACCCTTTCATATTGAAATGCTCAAAGAATGACAGGGACATGTCAAAATGATACAGAAACCAGCAAAGGGATTCCCACTGACCAAATTTGGAACAAGTGAAGAATCAAGAAAATAATGATACTAATAGATTATAATCCACTGAATAAATAGGAATCTATGCATCCACTAAATAAAAATTTACTGTTTGGCAATCATGATAATAATCAGTGCAGGTAATAAAATATTCTTAAGATTTAATGGCCCTCAAAATATCCTACCTTAAAATGCTTATTAACTATAAAGGGGAGAAATCTAACTTACAATGAAGAAGTCTGGGAAATGTCATTTTAATTAAGACCAGCAAGTAATGTGGCAGATCAACCTCATGGACTACTCACTAGGATACCATCAGACCACAGGATCTCTTCAATGATATTAGGGCCAAAATATCTAATACGGGTCTAATTGTGGGGAAACAGTAGACCAACCCAGATTGAAGAACAGAACAAAATTACCAGCCTGTAATCCTCAAAGACATCAAGCTCACGAAAGTCAAGAAAAGACCAAAGAACTATTCTAGATTGAGGGAGACTCAAGAGATACATCTGGGTGTAACACGTGAGTATGGGCTGGATCCTTTGCTATAAAGCAGATTATTGGGTAAAGGGTGTATGGAAGTTCTTTGTACTACTCTGGAAACTTTTCTGTTTTTAAAAAATGTCTCAGAATTCTTTTTTAAAAGGCTGGTGCTGATAAATATGTAAAACAATTAGATAGCAAGATTAAAAAGTTAACTAGTAGTCTATTTCTCCAGTGTTACTTTTAAGAAGCACTTCTAGCTGTTTCTTGCAGGGGTAATTTTCCTTGCTAGTTTTATGCTTAAATTGATTGCTATTTGTTGATTTATCAACTTCAGATACTACATGTGAGTCCCCACTATGAAAGACGAGAATTTAGTTCACATATGATCTCATTGTCCCCCTTCCTGGCCTGATTGAGTTATAATTTACATGCAGTGAAATTCACCCTATTTTGGTGTACAGTCCTGTAAACTTTGACAAACCTAAACAGTCATGTAATGGCACCAAAATAAAGATACAGAATATCTCCATCATACCATAACGTTTCCTCATGCCACTTTGCATGCAGTCCCATTCCCCTATCTCAGCCCTGGCAACCCAGTTATTTTTATTATATTTTATTTTATGAGTTTTATTTATAGTCTTAAATAATATACTTAAAACTGTATTTTTGTTCCATCAACTCTACAGTATTTCTTGACGTGTAAGAGTATTGGGACCCCTAACCTGCCCTCTGCCATTCCACCCTGTTTCTCCCTATTATCTTCTGTCACTTGTTTTACTTTCATATTAGAATTGTTGGTAACCATATTTAAGTTCTCTGTTTTGTCTACATGAATTTTATACACTGAAGGGCTCAATTTATTCCAGGATTACATTTTGCCCTCCATTGGTTGAATGTTCTGACCTCTGTTGGTGGATGTTAACCGCTCAAAGAATTCCCCTAAGGCCTGTCTGTGTCAAGTAGTTTTTCTTTCTTCGTTATCCATCAGTTTTCACCATTATGCTCCATTTTAGCCTTCTCCATCAGTGAATTGACTCTTCCATGCAGGTTTTGGGTTCCCCCCCGCCCTGACCAATATTTCTAATTTTTCATTTCTTCACTCTCGTCTAATTGTAGAATGTGTGCTCTTCTTCTCCTTGAAGACATTTTTCTCAGAGCCTACCAGCTTCTCATTCTAAATCAGATTGACCACCTCCTACACATTTGTTACTCAGGAATTTTTAAAGTTTCTATGTGTGTTCCATTATAACTTTTTACTCTCCCTTTGCTAAAGTAGCTTCCTCAGAAAGGGTCTGTAGGAGGGAAACCTTGATTCTTGAATGCCTGTTAACGTCTCATTCACCCTCCATATTCACTTGATAGCTTGGCTGATATTTTTAGGTTCAAAGTAATCTCTCCTCAGAATGTTGAAGACATTGTGCCAACTTTATGGTGTAAGTCCAGAAGTCTGAAGTCACCTAATTCGCATTCCTTGTTGGTTGGCCTATTATTCTGTCTCAGTGTTTTCTGGAGTTTTCTTTTTGTACTTGAGGTCTGAAATGCCATGAAGCCATATCCAAGAGCGAGTTTTATAATTTATCCTCCTCACCTTTCTGTGGGCCATTAGAGTCTGCTTCCTCATGTGTTACTTCAGTTCTGGGAAATTGTATTTTTTTTTAATGTACTTTCCTCCATTATTTTTCATTTTATTTTTCTGACACTCTTAACAGTCTGGTATTAGACCTATAGGATTGATCATCTGTTCTCAAAGAACCAGATTTTAATCAAACATAACTAATATATAACATTAAATGCCATTTAATGCTATTAAATAAGAGTGCAAAGAGAAATATTTATTTGTTAGAAAATTCAGGTAGAAAGTACCATGTAGTCATAGGGATCCTTCCAGTGCTTTCTGGTCCATGACTGTCCTTTGTGTATAAGAATGAGAAAATGGGTTCAATTTTCAGAGTGGTTAGTGCTTCTTACTCCTCCTGTGTAACATGCAGGTCTCCCAGGATTTACAGCTGTGGTGGCTATTTTAATGATAAAATATTAAGTGGTGAGAGAGCAGCAAGAGTACATGATCGCTGGTAGCTTCAAGTGCAAAAAATCCCACTGTTCTGCTCTACCTAGCATGTTTTTAGTCCGCATCTACATAGTCACTTTTCTCTGTGTATCAAGGAGCCAAGCAGTGTAAGAACAATGCAGAAGGATGGGCTGGTTGCCTAAGTCAAGACTGTGCTGCCCTCCTCCTCCCCGAAGTATTGTGTCCCTTCCTGACGATGTTTCTCTCATCTTCCCTGCAAGTAACCACCACTTTGCTTTTTATGATAGTTATTTTTGTTTGTTTTCATGTATAAGTTCACTGCCTATGTGTTTATGTCTAAGCAGAATGGTATGATTTTGCTGGTTTAAAAAATGTATATATTGAAACTATACTCTGTGTCTAATGCTGTTAGCACTGGGAAGATAAAGCCCCCTCAGTAAACATTGATTAAATGGATGAGCAATTACATGAAAAAAATGAATGAATGAGTGAATGAATCCTAATTTGATCTGGTCGTTCCCTTGTCCATGAATGCAAGATTCTCAAGATGGCCCCAGAATGAATGCAGGATGGACTAGGAGTTTCAGGATTGACATAAATCTGTTTCCACACTTCAAGCCAGCATCCTTTATCCCAGACTTCTTAACGGGTCTGGAGGAAATGTTGGTACAGCAGTGTTCAGACAGAGGCTGGAAATGCTCCAGTGTCCCCCATGCCACAGGTGGTGGGACCTCCCTCCCAGCTCTGACTCCCCCGGGATGTCGTGCTTGGCCATGTTCCAGGGGGTTGGCTGCTCTCCAGGAGGTTCCCAAACATTACATAACTAGTTGTATTCATCTATTGTTGTGTTTGCAATTCTGAATTCTGCCACAGAATTCACATCCTGGATAAACTGAATAGTATAATTTTCCATCTGCATGACATTCTTCTTTATTTTGTGAGTGGTTTATTAAAAGACATGATTGCCAGAGAAGGGTTTTGTTTACGTTGTAATTCCATATTATCTTCCTTGTAAATTCCATGTAATTCTGTGTCTTTTCAAGGGCTGGTGATGATTCCTTAGTATTATCTTCAAATAGCTGGTAAAACCTCCTGGTTTTAGGTCACTGAGAAATGCTTCTTAGGCAGATAGAAAAAGCCCTTTCCCTTGCTTTGTTTTGCTTTGCTTTTGTTTTTTAACGTACTTTGAGCGTATAGAAGCAAAAACGTACAGCTATGCTTCCCCCTCGTGCCTTTATTACATAAACGATAGCATACTTTACACAGTGATTCTGACACTGCTTTTTAAATATTTCTTGCAGATTATTCCATTAACACTAAAGAAACAGAGTCATTCTCTTTCGTGATCATATAGGAATCTTTTGTATTTACATACTGTAGTTTAATTTTTAACCATTTGTCACTAAGAAATAGGACATAGATCCACAAATGTGCATAAAATATACTGTGGTGGGTAGAGTAACAGCTTCCCCAAGATGCCTGTGCCTAATCCCCAGAACCAATGAATATGTTGCTGTGTTTGTGTTACATTACCACAAAGGGAAATTAGGGCAGAAAAT